GTCAGGATTCGATCACTGGGAATTAATTTAATTAATTAAGAATTGCATCACTACTCAAAACTGCCTCCTTCCTCTTTCCCTCCCTCTCTCAATTGATATATTGGTATAGGTGTTTCTAGTAGTGTGCAATAAAATTCCATAGTGATGGCATTTAGACTGAAGTATAGTGACCACATGAGAAACTTCATTTGAGCGGATTTCTTCCCCTTCCTTCCAAGGCAACGTTTTCGCGCGGTTGCTCAAAAACCATGGCCAAAATACCGCCACGGAAACCATGGGGTCCGTTTTAGAGGCAAGGTTCTGCCCGTAGCCTAGTGGCATTGTTTTAAATAATGATGGAATAGACTTCAGAGGAATAGTGTAATCCGTCATCCAGACCTTAGTCGAAATGAAAATAAAAAGGAATGCTCTACTCGCTCGAATAAAGCCGCTTTTACCCTATCGAATCCCCTTATCGCTCTTTGCGCAAGCTTCACAGATTTGGTAAAGATAAGGTCCAAACAAGTAAATCACCTTCCATGCTAGGTTGCTAACAAAACTTTCGCCCAGATGGGACTCGAACCCGTATCTCTCTCTAACCGGGCATGTACGCTACAAACTGTACAGCTTGTAGCGCACTTGTAAAAGTTTCGCAAGGCGGAACCGCGGCCAAAAACAGCAGTTAACATCCAAAAAAACAAGTCACCTCCAATAACTCAGAATGAAATATATGGGAACGAACCTGATGTTGTCCGTACCCCAGAGATACCGAGTGAGGTATGCCATGGGTAGGGGAATGACCGTGATTGTTTTCCATTTCTCGTCTTTGCCGTCGGCGCCTGATGACTTCTCTTTTCCATTGTATATCACAAGATCGGACTGCGCTTTCATTGCGGACTAAATTAAAATCGTTAGTACAGCGGAATTTAGTGGAGATCCATGACTGTTTGGATTTCCCCGTGTGAATCCAAATCAAAATAGCCCTGGTAACCATTCCATGGGAATTTAGATTCAATGAAGGTGTAGTATAAGGTGTTCAGCGCGAGCCAGAACCTCCGAGGAGGAAAACGATCGCTTTTCTTTTGATCAAGATTTTAGTAACTAACAACGCTTATAAGTTCAATGTGAACTGCTATAACTGAATGAGGAGAACTGGCACGAGAACCGTTCCTTGAATCTTTTTTCGAACAGTGGCTTGAGTCGGTGGGATTTTTGTTCAAACGACAACATCTGTCAAGACCGTACGGGGCGATATCCCTGAATGAGTGATTAGGCCCCATACCAATCTGGATGACCCCGCAATTCGAAGTCGAGATAGAGGGCATGGCGCTCTCCAAGAATGAATCCTTTCTTAAACACGCTCTTTTCATACCGTGTTGAAACCCTTTTACCCACCTCCTGCCTAGAGGCGTGCGAAGAAAGGAATTTTTAATGCGTTCTCTTCATGTGTTCGGCCTCGTAGATTTGTCCGCGTGCCATCTGCCCCCAGACGGCGTCCTGGCTGAAGAGACTGGGGGTGGGGCAAGCTAAAAAATCCGCGGCTATTTAATCGCCTCAAGCAATGGAATGGATATCATGATTGCTAACCGTAGAATAAGATGCAATATTAGAACAATGTCGAACTCCCAGTCGAAGTTCGTCCACATCGGCTTTTAACATTTCCACGCACCTCATCGTGCGAACGGCCCTCCACCGGCTCACCATTGATTTCCACAATTGCGTCACCAACATACAGTTGACCTGACTTGTCGGCTGAAAAGTTCTATTATTCGAAAGAGTGCCCGAAAATTCGCTGAAAACAGATGAATAGTTCAATTAAGACTTCACATTATGGTGGAGAGCTATTTGCAAGTGGACCCCTATTCCCATGCGCTTGCCCCAAGGATCGAATCCTTAATGCAACCTTGCCTGGGTTATAAGAATTTTCCATACCCTCGGGATCTGCTGAATATGAGCTTTATAACCACGCCTATGAGAAGCAGAACTACTGATAATCGTCATTTTCTACAAATACATATGTATAGGTCGGACGGAGTTCACCTGGATTGCTGTACATACGTACTATTGTCGGACGGGTACGACCTAGATAGCTATGTTCAGCCATATATGGTAATGAAGCTCAAGAGGCCAGTCCTTCCTGGCCTAACCTAAGTCCCAAAGACTTTTAGTCTGTGTAGGCAAGACGAGTGTGGAGGCAGCGTTATTCAATGCAATGGCGAAGACAATGCTGGGATATTTTTACGCAGCGAGACCAGATGGAAAAGCGCCTTCTGGAGCCGTTCACTAAGACCAATTCTGGCCCACAGATTCCACAACTTTCAGGCTCACCTTAGAGTCAATTGGTCTAGTGGCCAAGTCTACTAAGGAGAAGAAATAGAACTTCCCGTTAGAGCGATTGTGGTATGATTCATTTCTCGTTTAGAAATTCCTCGGCTTCCTGTGTCTTCCGTTGATTGATATTAGTCAACTGCGACTGCGATTCATGTTACAATCAAGTTGGAGCACATTACGAATGTCATTAAGGTACCCTTTGCTTCCAGAAAACCAGAAGCGTGTCGAGTGCAGACCACACACCACAAGTGACGACGGCCTCCAAGTAAATCTGGTTACTAGTGGTTCATAGTGATAGCTGATTTTGGTAAATGATAGTTGTAATTAGTGACAACTGATAGAATACAACTGCAACAGGCTAATCATTTCATTGGCAGAAAACATTTTACATTTTGTGGAGGCCGTCGTCACTTGTGGTGTGTGGTCTGCACTCGACGCGCTTCTCGTTTCCCGAAAAAGAGTTATAATTATGCTTACTGTGTTTTGTACGTCAACGGGGTTGACATAACGCAGTGGGAAACGCCTCGAACAGTCAGGCTTCTTATACCCTTGGGATGGACCAATAGGTAAGGAACTCGTCTGGTAGGGTCAAACCACGGGCTTTTGCATTGTGCAAGAGCCATTTTGTGAGACGAATCGCTCTCAAATGTCACCGCGATTTCAAGCCAGTGGAATGCGTGGCGCACTCCAGAAAAGGATTGGACATCAACGAGAGCTTCATCCTTTACTATTTTTTCCACTTTTTATTCACGCAATGAATTTCAAAATCTAGACTTTTAATCTTGAATAGTAATGGTGAGAAATTTGCAGACTATAGTGAGAATAAATTACCTTACCTGGCATTCCTGGGAATATCTTCGATATAACAATGGGCATTTTTTGAGCATTTTCTGCGCCACCCTAGAAAAAAGGGAATTTGTGAGAAAAATAATTGGTAGTATAAATAAATATCCCCACCTTTATGGACAGGCCCAGGCCACCAGCCCCTTTCTTCTTTAGCACAATTGTGCGTGTGTGATCGTCGGGTACTTCGGAATCAACATCACCCGTTGTTGTTCCATCACTGACGATTTCTATTGCAAGCTGATCTGAAAGCTTACCATTTACTTAAGCATGAGACCAAAAACATTAAAGAGTAGGGTTTTGTGAAATCGCAGTCAGATTCTTTGAAAAAATTACTAAGGTAGGAAACATTTTTCTCACACTACGCTGGAAATAGTTTATCCACAAAGAAGAAACGATCTGACACGGATGCTGGGTTTTGGCTGAATTCGCAGACAACTGAACCCTCACCTGCGTTCCGACCAGCTTTGTACCGATACCCAAAATTCCCAAACCAATTCTGATACGGTATCCGCTACACACCCTCCATATAAAGAGCCTGAGAGAGGACACTCTACCAAACAAACGACCCCATCCTGCAACATAACCCATCTAGCGGTCGCTTGTAAGTCCGGTAAACAACTTCCCCAATCTGAGCGTCCATCGCGTCACCCTTCTGCTTGAAGATGGGGACGATAGTGCTTGTTCTCCAGGCATCCGGCATCCTCCCTTCGGCAGTCACCGTATTCAGGAAGCGGGTGAGCCACTTCACCCCGTGCTCTCCCAGGGCCTTCCAAGCCTCTATGGGTACTCCATCCGGACCAACTGCCTTTCCAACCTTCATCTTCCCAAGTGCACGCCGAACCTCATCCTCTGTCCAGAGTGCGATGGGACCAGCTGTGGCCTCTGCCCGTGAGTTGTTCTCGTGGGAGAACTCCTCGTTCAGAAGACCTCTGAAGTACTCTTCCCACCTCCTCCGAACTTGGCTGGCTTTCTCAGGCGCCGTTTTTTTTTTTTTTTTTTTTTTTTTTTTTTTTTTTTTTTTTTTTTTTTTTTTTTTTTTTTTTTTCTTTTTTTTTTTTTTTTTTTTTTTTTTTTTTTTTTTTTTTTTTTTTTTTTTTTTTTTTTTTTTTTTTTTTTTTTTTTTTTTTTTTTCTTTTTTTTTTTTTTTTTTTTTTTTTTTTTTTTTTTTTTTTTTTTTTTTTTTTTTTTTTTTTTTTTTCCTTTTCCCTTCTTACCTTGAAGTAGGCCGCGGGTAGCTGTTAAGGGCCTGAAGAAACTTCTCTTGTTCTGCTCTTCCAACTCCGTACAAGTTCCAAGCTCCGGTCTTACCTGGCGACCTCTGCAACTCCCCTGTAAGTAGCGAGTCCGCTGTGCTCCGTTTTCTGCCAGCAACTTGTAACGCTTCTTTATTTAACGTGCAACTTACACAACCCTTTACTCGGTAGATGAATCTTATGATAAACCCTTTCAACAGCGTCAAGTACTTGAAAGGTGCCGCAATGGGGCGATGTCATGAAGATCCCGTAATCAATCCCTAGGCTCAGTCTATAGTGGAGAGGTCTAAGATGGGATTCCCCGCGGTTTTTTGGGGGTTTTTTGTGCCTTACGCATGCGCATGCTCTACCCCTCTGAGTAATACAGACGCCTTTCCACAAATCTCCAAAATATAGAAATTTATTTAGTTAAAATAAGCAAACTCCGATAGCCCGACTAGTAGGAGGATTCCACGGGGGAAATTTAAGGTCCGTACGTAACTAGATCACTCCAGCTTCGTCGCAAAAACTGCGCGGTTAGGGCGCTAATCCTTACGGGCCGCAACCATCGACTCCCGTTCCAACGCATCCACCCGCCGCGAGAGGTGGTGAGATCAGCGTGCATTGATGAGAGATCACCGTGCTCTCTCAACGACGTGCTCCTCTGTCGCGTTTTGTCCTCTTTGACCGGTACCGCCCCTAGTGCGTCGCGCAGCAGGAAGGCAAAGTCAGTGGACGAGTCGCGCGCGTACTATAGGGATTTCGCGTCAAGTTAAATAGAGTGTCCCATGCATGTCCTCATCGCACACCACACGCTGCAACTCGTCCGCCGACTCTGCCTTCTTGCCGCGCGAACCAGCTCCTGAGGGGTGTCTTCTTTGACCACCCTTTCTCGCCATCGTACCACATTCTACCCTACTGAAGGTTAAGGCCTTAATTGCAGCGTTCCCAAGGATATCTCTTGCTTTCTTTCCACTTTCAGGTCGTTCCGCACCTAAGCTATCACCACAAAGCAGCCTGGTATCAAGCATCTACTAATCCTGTATTTGTTTTAACACGTTGACGACAACGCGCGTTTTGGGTTTTTGCGCCGCGTGGGACCACGGCGATTTTGCAGGCGCCGCCGCCTCACATCAAATCCGTGAATTTTGAGCTTTAAATACCCAAAACTCGGATGCAACAAAATGTTTAGAATGATATTCGATGTGTCAAACTTATCAGAAGGGACAACTGTAAAAAATCGATCGAATTGACGTTTTCTGGCGATGAAAGGCAAGTTTCAGTTGCTTTTGCTGCAGTGAACCTCAAAATTATTTTTGACGCGGTTGCTCCACTAAAAACATATACTTGCTATATTGTAGGTCTGTACTTACTACTAACTACTCTTTTTTATGCTAAGGTTGTCAGAATATAAAGGAAACTAGGAATGAACACAATTGGGAAATTCGTAGGGACTTAGAAAACCTTCGCTAAAAAGGAGCATATTCAACCATTCAATGAACCTCGCCGTGTCTAGTCATATTATGGTGTAGTCTATGGAATAGATGCAAAAAAATAGAAAAGAAGTAGCGCATGCGCGAAAAAAATAAATATTGTGTGTGCAGCAGCATGCGCTGCACAATGTCGTCAACGTGTTAA